TGAGTAGTAAACTGGATTCGTATAGTAGAACAGTCATTTGGAATAGCTCCGAATGTAGCGTAGTAGTTGCATCTACAAGATGACATAAGAAATTTGCGAAGTACATACGGATCTGAATGTTGCAGACCCGTTGACTAAAACCTCTCTCACAAGCAAAACATGATCAAACCCAGAACTCATTGAGTCTTAATCACATGATGATGTGAACTAGTTTAGTGACACTAGTAAACTCTTTGGATGTTGGTCACATGGGGATGTGACCTTGAGTGTTAATCACATATCGATGTGAACTGGATTATTGACTCTAGTGCAAGTGGGAGACTGTTGGAAATATGTCCTAGAGGAAATAATAAATTGGTTATTATTATATTTCCTGGTTCATGATAATCGTTTATTATCCATGCTAGAATTGTATTGATAGGAAACTCAGATACATGTGTGGATACATAGACAACACCATGTCCCTAGTAAGCCTCTAGTTGACTAGCTCGTTGATCAATAGATGGTTACGGTTTCCTGACCATGGACATTGGATGTCATTGATAACGGGGTCACATCATTAGGAGAATGATGTGATGGACAAGACCCATTCCTAGCCTAGCACAAGATCATGTAGTTCGTATGCTAAACCTTTTCTAATGCCAAGTATCATTTCCTTAGACCATGAGATTGTGCAACTCCCGGATACCGTAGGAGTGCTTTGGGTGTGCCAAACGTCACAACATAACTGGGTGACTATAAAGGTGCACTACGGGTATCTCCGAAAGTGTCTGTTGGGTTGGCACGAATCGAGACTGGGATTTGTCACTCCGTGTGACGGAGAGGTATCTCTGGGCCCACTCGGTAGGACATCATCATAATGTGCACAATGTGATCAAGGAGTTGATCACGAGATGATGTGTTACGGAACGAGTAAAGAGACTTGCCGGTAACGAGATTGAACAAGGTATCGGGATACCGACGATCGAATCTCGGGCAAGTATCGTACCGATAGACAAAGGGAATTGTATACGGGATTGATTAAGTCCTTGACATCGTGGTTCATCCGATGAGATCATCGTGGAACATGTGGGAGCCAACATGGGTATCCAGATCCCGCTGTTGGTTATTGACCGGAGAGTCATCTCGGTCATGTCTACATGTCTCCCGAACCCGTACGGTCTACACACTTAAGGTTCGGTGACGCTAGGGTTGTAGGGATATGTATATGCAGTAACCCGAATGTTGTTCGGAGTCCCGGATGAGATTCCGGACGTCATGAGGAGTTCCGAAATGGTCCGGAGGTAAAGAATTATATATAGGAAGTGCTATTTCGGCCATCGGGACAAGTTTCGGGGTCACCGGTATTGTACCGGGACCACCGGAAGGGTCCCGGGGGTCCACCGGGTGGGGCCACCTATCCCGGAGGGCCCCATGGGCTGAAGTGGGAAGGGATCCAGCCCAAAGTGGGCTGGGGCGCCACTTCCCTCTAGGGCCCATGCGCCTAGGGTGGAAAAACCCTAGGGGAAGAGTCCCAAAGGGGGAAGGCACCCCCTAGGTGCCTTGGGGAGGAGGGACTCCTCCCTTGGCCGCCGCCCCCCTAGGAGATTGCATCTCCTAGGGCCGGTGCCCCCCCTAGGCCCCCCTATATATAGTGGGGGAGATGGAGGACTTCTCACCTAAGCCTTTGGTGCCTCCCTCTCCCTCTCCAACACATCCTCCTCCTCCATAGAGCTTGGCGAAGCCCTGCCGGAGTACTGCAGCTCCATCACCACCACGCCGTCGTGCTGCTGCTGGAGCCATCTTCCTCAACCTCTCCTTCCTCCTTGCTGGATCAAGAAGGAGGAGACGTCGTTGCTCCGTACGTGTGTTGAACGCGGAGGTGTCGTCCGTTCGGCGCTAGGATCATCGGTGATTTGGATCACGACGAGTACGACTCCATCAACCCCGTTCTATTGAACGCTTCCGCGCGCGATCTGCAAGGGTATGTAGATCCACTCCTCCCTCGTTGCTAGATGACTCCATAGATTGATCTTGGTGACACGTAGGAATTTTTGAATTTCTGCTACGTTCCCCAACACTCTGGCCGCACGAAGCCTGTAGCGGTGGTCGCCGACGTGCTTGTCGGTGGCAGCGACGTCGCCGGAGTGGCGCGGGGGGCCGGCCAGCTCGGGCTCTCACGATCCGACGGGATCGAGGCAGCGGGCTCTGTCGGGCATGTCCAGGGGTTGATTACTTTTTTTAGATCTACTAGGGGTCTGTGTGTAATTTTTGCCAAGTCAGCTCCTTACAGCCCGGTTCCATGTGTCAAAAAGTGATTAAATGGGCTAAATCACCTGATCAGTGCAATTTGCAAAAAGTTTACTAAAAACGCGATGATTTTTGCATAAAATTATGAACTAGGCGGTTTTCTGCAATCGATGCCCCAAATATGATGATTTTTTGCAATTAACTCGACAATACACAGCATCCTTCGCCTACAAGATTAGAATAATCAAATAGACAATCGATAATCATTTGGAAGCATCTTAAAAGTTCTAGTGAGTAATTCCTTGCAGTAAAATCTACCCACCTGAGTTCAAGTCTAGACTTGATACATGTTCCATCTTGCGTTAATTTTTCTCACCACCACTATTCGTCTCTCCTTCCAACCTTCATCATTTTTTTCAGATTTCCATGTCGATCTGGTTTTCATAAAAAAGATTTTTGATAACCCAATAAATCAGATCAATCTATTGTATAGCACTAAATTCACGATCCCCCAACAAATTGTTTTTTGGGATAAAACCTAATGCCGGTTAGACATCTTTTGTAATCCAACAAACAGCAATAAATTCATGCTCTATAAACAAATAAATACACCCTTTATTTGCAAATGTAAGATGTTTTGGCAGTTTAGATCTCTTATCTTTGGTAAACTGGTCAAAAAGATCAATGGGCACATCTATTTTTGTCAGTTTAAATAATGACAGAATGTATATTTTATAACCAAAAGATAATTCTATTTTATTTTTTCCATTTTTACATCAAGATTTGCTCTGCGTGGTTCTCTTATATCGCGTTAAAAAAGAAGGCACTGCTAGGCGCGCGCCGAAATTTTCAGCCGGTCAGCGCCCTAGCGTTGGATACAGACACACGTGACCGTCAGATCTAGAAAAAAAAATCCCCTCCTCGCTCGCGTACAAAGCACAACTCCATGAACCGCCCGGGCCTCGCGCTAGCAGCTCGCCGAGCCGATCGTCGGCGCGCTCGCCGGGGCCGCTCTTGGGGATTGCATAACAGCCGCCAGTGGATCCCCTAGCGCGCGGTCACCGACAGATTGCAGCTCTAATCCCCTCCCCCGGTTAATTCCAGCTCACGATTCGCCATGGTTGCAGCATCCCCCTGATCTACGTCATTGCCTCCGGCTCGTCGGCTTGCATCTGTTGTCCTACAAAAAAACTGAAAACAAAACAAAATCCTTGAAGCAAAATATTACTAGGTCCCAGCAAGAAAAAGCTCAAGTTCCAACATAACAAATTCAGTTGCAAAAAATAGCTCCAATGATTAGTTGTAGCGAGAAAAATACCACAGCTTCCAGCAAAAGAATAGATCGGTTCCAGCAAAAACAAATTCAGAGGAGAAGAGCTGCAGGGTCGATTGTAGCAAAAAATAAGGTAGTTCCAGCAAAATAATATGCCGGTTCCAGCAAAAAGAACACCTCACAAACCAACCGAGGGCCGACAATGTCGCCAAAAATCATGCCTCGCTGCCGACGGTCACGAAACAAAAACATCTCAGCGATCCAGCAAAAAAAAACTTGCGGTTGTAGCAAAAGAAAAAAAGGACGGTGCCAACAAAAACGACTGGTTCACCTCGCAGCTCCACCGGATCTGGTTGTAGCTCCGCCGGACAACGCTTCCAGCTTTTCTCATCCATGGTTGTAGCACCCCCTCACCAGCATGTAGGAACCTTGCAGCTCCGCTAGACCGTGGTTCCAGCTTTCTCCGACCACGGTTGCAGCTCTGCGGAACTGCGGTTGCAGCACCGCCGAGCCAATCCACGCCGGCGGCCACATAGCTTGCAGTTGCCGGCCGTGCCGCCACTCGTGCTCGTGATGCGCCGTCGTCCAGTGCCTTTGGACCACCACCCCCGCCATCTGCTCGCAGTGCGCGCCCTACCGTCGCCCAACAAAACATCACACCCGCCCCCTCCCCTCGCCATGGATAAGAGCTCGTCAGGAGGTACAAACGGCGGCGAGGTATTCAGGATCGGGATGAAACAGAAAAAAGGGGATTGAGGAAGAGAGAGAGGAGGAGGAAGAGATAAGGTGGGGATAGATCGTGTGTGGGTCTCACAATGGACATGGCTTCTTGTGTTTCTTCCCGTCACGAGCGGGTGTGGATGTGTGTCGTGGTTTCCCGAGCGAGCGAGGTGCGACCGGCCAAGTTTCAGCCAGCGCACCGTTCCCAAACATTTACCTAAAAAATATTTGGGTTCTGTCGTCCGCTTATGCTTCGTCCAACCTTACATCCATTCTCCCCTCACTCTCCCGTTTTGATTCTTTTTGTCTCATCTCAAGTTTTTTACATAAATTTTCCTGAAACTGCCTTAACTGCATCCACCTATTATTAACTTACCAAACAAAAATATATTTTCTTTCATAAGCCAATAAGTGCTTACCAAATAAAATAATATTTTTTACACAATCAGGTTAATATGGGCAGATAAACACAGGTTACAGTACTAGAAAAATTCTAATCCCGGTTGCAACGCATAGGCAATCATAGTGTTTCTAAAAAAATCTTGGAAGTTCTTGATAAGTTATGAATGCTGGGGATGCAAATGCTCTGATAATGTTTAACAGGTAGCCACCACTTTTCATCACTTGGTATTAAAATGTAATGAAATGATAGGAATAAACAAATACACGACCAAAATGTGAGGAATAATATCAGCTCCGTGTCTGTTCAAGTTCAATTCTAGAATAATTCTGGGACAATATTGGAAGCGCAAAACCCTGTCTGTAATAAGAAAGACAATTATGCATGCCGGTTATCATCATCCGCACCCTCGTCGAAAACACCTGATGATCCTACATGAAAATCCAGCTGCTTTTGATACTTCTGCCGCCTACGTTCATCAAACTCCTCCCAGCCCTCCAGCTGCTCGTATAAAGTAAAATAACATTAGCACCATAAAATATCTATGTCAGAGCCAAGGCCAAACAGGCAATACGGTAGAGGATTTAATCATATTTCGGTTAAAATGTAAGGAATAGCATCGATATAGAACAAATAGTGTACTTATCAACAAGGTGGTATAAACATGGAAACTATATTATGTGGAAGTGTCCCAGGGCGAACCCAGCTATAGAAAGCAGCAGTAAGAGAGATTGCAGAAACAAACAGAACTTGAATGGTGAAACTATAATTTCCTATTCCAAATGTAAGTATGTAGGTAAAAAAAAAGAATGTATATAGCCATCTTAATTCCACTGGAGCGATGATGATAACAAACAAAACTACCTATGTGTGAAGGTTTCAACCTTTCTATGAACTTATACCTGTCGAAGAATGTCATTTGTAATTCCAGTGCCATGGAGATCAAGTGTAGTAAGCCGCCAGCACTTCTTGAATAAAGTCGGCGGTAGGGAATTAAGACCATTGTTCCTTAGATGCAGAGCCTATTGGAAGTAACTTCTTACAAACATCGAATAGTACGGTATGTTCTCTTCAGTATAAATGTCGCCAAGATTAAAAAGAAGAGGCGAGCAAATAGAGAATAGAAATGTGCAACACGGTTACACAAGAAACAAGAGACAAATAATTTTCTGTTTTCACCACAAGATAGCAAGTATTGACCAAATAAAACAAAACCAGTCGTCCATTCCATGCTCTAATTTAGTAAATATATCATGCAATATCACCAAAGCCTAAACATTTATGACTTTCTCGACTCTCAAGTAATTAAACAAGAGTTTAGTGAATGATTCTTTAAGAAACAAAGAGAGTTAACTCACATGCTGAGAGAGTTAACTCAGCCTACGTGAGATCAAAAACATCATGAAGGAATAATTCACATTAATAACGGTTGAATTTGTTGTGCTATTATGTTATGCACAAGAATAATTACTACATTCACAGGTTAAGCATCTGCATTTTTAAAGTCATTACAATTGGACATTTAATGTTGTGACATTTAACTCAGATGTTGTGCACATATACATACCTAGTGATTGCGAATGCATCTTCCCATGTAGGTATAGGCGGTTAGGCACATACCTTCAGATTGTGAAGGTTTCCGCAAGCCTTTGGTAGTTCGGCTAAAAGATTCGATGATAAGTCCACCTGATGAAGTCAAAACTTTGGTGAACAACTGCCAACTACAAAGCTCAAAAGAGTTCATGGGGCATTTGCTTCGAAGGATCACTGCATGCTAGGATAGGTGGCTGCTTCACTGGAGAAAGAGAGAAGAGAAAGCACACACCTCGAAGAGAGATTCACAGTCGCCTATAGAGGAAGGCAGCGAAGTTATCCTGTCAAGTGAAAATGATGTAGTGTGAAAGATCAGGATACCTTTCAATTTTCAGATCAAACAGTACCACCATAATTCCCATTGGATGCTACAAGTATAACACATGCCAACATTTAGGAACAATAGAATATTCATAGAACTGCCACTACGAAAGCTCATGTTTTTCCCCTTCATTCTAATCCTATAAACTACAATGAGAACAGCAGAAAATTAAGAATTTAGCATATAGATCGCCCCTCTTCCCAGTAACCTCATATTACTTCCCAAATTTAATATACAGCATCTATCTGTAGTTAGCAGGCATATACATAAGTAAAAAGTGTGAATACTGATGTACTACAATGAGAACAGCAGAAAATTAAGAATTTAGCATACATACAGATCGTCCCTCTTCCCAGTAACCTCATATTACTTCCCAAATTTAATATACAACATCTATTTAGTAGTAAGCAGGCATATACATAAGTAAAACATGTGAATACTGATGTTAGCATATCAAAACATCAGATAACATCACTGAGGGTACTGCAAGTCCAGTAAGTGGCAAGTTTAGCACACACTACCTATTATTATTTGCTATAAGAATCTCTAGCTGCTTCAGCAAACCTATTTCAACAGGTAGGCTGCCAAGCATGTTATTTGCAATGCGAAGTTCACGTAGAAAAGTCAATGTGCCCAAACTCGGAGGTAAAGTGACCAATCTGCAAGATAATGAAAAGGGTTATAAACCGAAGCATCTTGTGATCCTGAGTACCAAAGATGCATGTCAAAACATACAAAGATCAGGTTGTTTAGTCTTCCAGACAAAAGTCAATGCAATAGAGGTATTTTGTTCAAATGAGAACTATGAACCTTTCTATTGGCAGGTAAATTTGCACATACATCTCGAGAGTAGGAGCAAAGCCCAGTGACAAATTCTTTAAATAGGTATTAACGAAGAGCCAGATCATGAACAAGAATGCAGTGGTTATTTCATAACCCAAACTAAAATAATTACTTTTAGTTGTCCCATTAATCACGAAAACTTATTAGATAGATACACAAACTGCACCAGATGATTATGAAACTACAGGATTCCATCACAGATGATCCGAGAAAAACCAAGCTACTGGATTATAAAATACATTCTCCCAATGTTATTTCAACTAATGCACTCTGCATGTATCAGTTTTGTGTCAAACATTGGTTGCTCTCAGTCAATGGTCAGAGCTGGCGAGTCAAAAAGATATATATAAAATAGGAGCAACTTTTACAAGTGGGTGGTAGCAGCAAACATATACAAGATGGGGGAATGTAATAATTTTCAGGAGATTATAAATGACTCAAGATTGTTTGTGTCCACTTGCAGCATAACAAATATTCACAGTATGAATAACACAACAGGATTTGAAAATTCAGACCTACCGATTTTGGCTTAAAGATAAAACTGTTAATGTATCAACACATGATAGACCTTCCCAGCTGATGCCCCCATCAGATATGTCATTGGCGGTTAGCAACAATTTCTACACGATGAAATGACGATATTTTCAACTATACCTCCTTATAAAGAAATCCATCAATGAATTTATTTGGAAACAACAATTACATTTAATGATTTAACTGCAGCAATTTTCTGTGGAATTGCTTCAATTGAGTTGTTACAGACATCTAGTACTCGTATGGAGGAGCCACAGTCCCAGACTTCCTCAGGCACAGCCTGCATCCCAAATTACAACCAACGAGAAAAATTAGGTATGCAAAACATAAAAGAAAATTTGTAACTCAGAAGGCAAGAGGTAAAGGACGGGTCGTCGGTGTAACAATAGAATAAAAGCATTCCATGATGATTAAAAAAAGTCTTGCTTCATCACATGGTGTCTTGGAGAATGGAGATGAACCTGGTAATGTGACATTTGCACATCTCCTACATAACAAAGTAGGTGATCCACACTAACATATTTATCTCAACATGCAAAAAGGCTCGAATGTTTTAATTATATTTATGCTATTTATATTCAAGAAATAGTTTACAATTATAAAATAATCATATGTACTTTCAGTTTAGTTCTTATATTATTAATCCAAATCGAAATATATTGCAAACAATTCCAATAGCAACGCGCGGTAACTAGCACAATAGATGGTATAGACCTCAAGTCAGTCTACCAACATGAAAAGAACCTTATGTCAGGACTGCTTTCATTATTTCGTCTGGGCTCTACTCAACACAAAAAACAACCATTAACCGCTGATTGTATTAACGCACCATTAATTGACACGGGAACTTCCACTTTTTTCATAGAAAGGCAGTTACTGAAGTTTGATAAACGTCAAATCACAGCTATTATATGTTGCTTTGAATTTGCAAAGATACTGCAAACAAGTTGAATCAGATACCTTCAAGCTGGAACCAGATAAAGCAATGACACCTGTTATTTTCCAACGCTCCGCTCGGCTTTTGCTGATAATCTCCGGTTTTAGTGTTTGATTATCCTTAACATTTGAGGTTCTTTTTGCACTTGGTGCAAGACCACTGCTATTCTTAGTGATGGGGCCTTCCTGTGGAAAGTAGTGCACATGTAAGTTGATTGTGACAAACTACTCCATAGATAACCTGTATGACATGCTTTTACAATTGACTCCTAATGAAATTTTAGCATTGACATGTGGTGACATGGCAGGAACTATGACTTCGCAGAAATTTCCCCTAAACATCAGAAAACCCCAATGATTGAAAAGTGAGGGCATCAAACTGAAGAATGAATGAAAATAAAGCTCCTCATCCTACTAACGTTGAGCATAACAAAAAATTCCGGTCTGTATCGACTTTGGAGTAACCATAAAAGCACATGACTGAAATCGAACTTCTGCAGGTTCATTGCTAAAGATCTGAAGAAAAGAACGGGAGAACGAACGAAAATAATCGTACAGATTAGAGAAGAAATCAAGGTGATTTACCCCTTGATGAAGACCCTGCGAAGCGATGAGCATGACCTTGGATCCGTCCCCCACCTGCATCGAGCTCAGACTCGCGGCGTCGGCAAGAACTTTTCCTGTAATCGCAAGGAAAGTAAGAGAAACAGCAAAAGGGTTAACCCAAAGCAAATTCCCGTTCAGGCGGTAAGGGTTTGGGATTCGGTACCTTTGCAGATGAGTTTCTGGCCGCGGGGGAGAACGTTGGTTAGCGGCTGTAGGAGGAGCTTCAGCTCCGCGGTGGAGGCGGATGTCGGGAGTTCCACCGGAATGGTTCGGCCGGCGAACTTCACCTGGACGGTGATTGTGGGCGGCGAGCTCTCCATGGCGTGTTTCCCCGCTGCTCGATCGAGCGAACGCAACTTTTTTTTTGGATCAATCGAGCGAACGCAACTGAACCACCCCTTTCCGCCTGCTCATCTCCAGCCGCGCCCTCCCATGCGTTTTTCAAGCGCCGACGCAAAGTGATATCTCAGAACCTTGTTTTTCGTCAGTTTGGACCGAAATTAACGTCGGTGGACCCAGACAAAACCCAGCACGCTGCGAGGCGCCCAGAGGCGCCGGTGCGAGACGATTCGGCACAAAAACGGATGGGTCCGTCGAGTCAGCGACACGCCGCTTCATCGCCCTTGTCTTAGTTCCCGCGGGAATCAATGCGAAGGCTGCCGCGCCGGTCAGCCTCTATTAATGCCTCATGTGCGGCGCAGTGAACGCGCCGCGACGCGCGTCCAGCCACGCGTCGTCCGGCATGCAGCCCGACGTCGTCCAGCTACGGCTATAAAAGGCGACCTCCCCACCGATGGACGCCACAGCTCTCATTTTCCCCACTCTCCGGCGCAGAAAGCAGCACTCTCTCCCCTCTTCCCACCGACAAGAAAAGATGGTCGAGAGGTACCCAGGCAACAGCGCGGTGGCGAACGGCTTCGGCCGCCGCCACCTCCAAGAGGCGGAGACACGGCTGTTGTACGAGGCGAAGTACCCGGCGCCCCTGGACATGCGAGTGCCGGAGACGTGGAGGCTGAGCGCCGGCGGCATCCCGGTGCCACCGGTGCCCGAAGGGGCAGCGCAGCGCGGCGAGATCGCCCGCATTCGCGCCTCCCTGACGGAGGAAAAGCGGAACGAGCCGCACTACGCTGTCGATAGTCACGCCCTCTGGACGATGTATTTCGAGCACCGCCGCGAGGAGCAGATCGCCTCCACCAACGGCATCATCCCGCGGGGCCGCCACAACACCGACGAACGGCGCGAGTGGTGGGGCGTTCCGGGCCGCACCCTCGAGGCCGTCCTTAACCACATCGAGATCGGCAACGTGTCGCGCCTCGAGTACCCGCAGCGGCCGTCCTTCTCTCACCGCCGTGGTAGCTTCCGGACGCCGTGATGGATAGAGCCAGAGTCGTCCTAGCCGTCGGGCTCCGGCTCGCCGGCCACGCTCCGCCCCGTCAAACCCGAGCCGGAGGAGACGCCGCTCCGACGCAGCACCCGCAGCGGCGCCCTCGTCATCAACGAGGCCGCTCGATGCCCCCCCCCCGCACGGATCCTACCGCCTGGTCCGGCCGAAGCCGGAGCCTGGGCTGCTCCCGGTGAAGCCGGATCACGTCGAGATGGCGGCCCCCGACGACGAGTTCGCACTCAAGTGGGCGAAGGAGGACTACGTCCGGGAGCATATACGCCGCCAGTGTCGGGCGTACGAGGAGCTCCAGGCCCGTCGTCGCGGTCGCGAGGAAGGCGGCGCCATGGTCTTCGACGGCGACGAGGAGGGCGAGGCCGGGCCGTCCAGCGCACCACCACGCCTCGGCGACCCGGGTCAGGGCTGCAGCAGGGACCGTGCCGGCCCAAGCCAGCCGTGCGACGATGACGACGACGGCGACTACACCCGCTTCTACAGGCTTCTCAGCATGTAGACGGCGACGGCGGTGGCGGCTAGGCGTAGTTTTGAAAGTGCAACTATCCCTGGGTGGTTTTGGTAATTCCTAACAACATATAGCTCATTGAGCTAACATTATTCCAAGATTAATATTTTAGGAAAAGCTCAATGAATGGCATGGCATGGATGAGGAAAGTGGATCCCTCAAAATTCTAAGGACAAAAAGTTTGGCTCAAGCTTGAAGCTCAAGACTCTACATTTTATATTTTAGTGATCCAAGATCACATTGAGTCTATAGGAAAAGCCAATACTATCAAGGAGGGATGAGGTGTTGCTTAATGGCTTGCTTGCTCAAAATGCTTAGTGATATGCTCCAAAATCCTCAACTACCTTCCCACATCCACATATGACCTAAACCAAAAGTCAAACTCGGCCCCACCGATTCTTTCTATCCGGCGCCACCGAGTTTCAAATGTCATAGCCACTACCACAAACCCTAGGCAAATCGGTCTCACCGATAGGGATCTCGGTCTCACCGATAGGGATCTCGGTCTCACCAAGATGGGATTGTAATCTCTCTGTTTCCCTTCATAACGTTTCGGTCTTATCGAGATGAGCGATCGGTCCCACCGAGATTGCAATGTAAACTCTCTATTTCCCTTTTGTAACATTTCGGTCCCATCGAGATGAGCGAATCGGTCCCACCGAGTTTACCTGACCAACTCTCTGGTTAGCTTATTACCAAAATCGGTCCTACCGAGTTTGTGTAATCGGTCACACCGAGATTACGTTATGCCCTAACCCTAACCATATCGGTCCTACCGAGTTGCATCTCAGTCCCACCGAAAATCCTAACGGTCACTAGGTTTGCTGAATCGGTCCGACCGAGTTTAACCATTCGGTCCCACCGAGTTTGGCAAATTGTGTGTAACGGTTAGATTTTGTGTGGAGGCTATATATACCCCTCCACCCACTTTTCATTCGTGGAGAGAGCCATCAGAACATACCTACACTTCCAATACACATTTTCTGAGAGAGAACCACCTACACTTGTGTTGAGGTCAAGATATTCCATTCCAACCATATGAATCTTGATCTCTAGCCTTCCCCAAGTTGCTTTCCACTCAAATCTTCTTTCCAACAAATCCAAATCCTGTGAGAGAGAGTTAAGTGTTGGGGAGACTATCATTTGAAGCACAAGAGCAAGGAGTTCATCATCAACACACCATTTGTTACTTCTTGGAGAGTGGTGTCTCCTAGATTGGCTAGGTGTCACTTGGGAGCCTCCGACAAGATTGTGGAGTTGAACCAAGGAGTTTGTAAGGGCAAGGAGATCGCCTACTTCGTGAAGATCTACCGCTAGTGAGGCAAGTCCTTCGTGGGCGACGGCCGTGATGGAATAGACAAGGTTGCTTCTTCGTGGACCCTTCGTGGGTGGAGCCCTCCGTGGACTCGCGCAACCGTTACCCTCCGTGGGTTGAAGTTTCCATCAACGTGGATGTACGATAGCACCACCTATCGGAACCACGACAAAAACATCTGTGTCTCCAATTGCGTTTAAATCCTCCAAACCCTTCCCTTTACATTCTTGCAAGTTGTATGCTTTACTTTCCGCTGCTCATATACTCTTTTGCATGCTTGCTTGAATTGTGTTAGATTGCTTGACTTGTGCTAAGATAGCTAAAATCTGCCAAGAACTAAAATTAGGAAAAGGCTAGATTTTTATTTGGTCAAGTAGTCTAATCACCCCCTGTCGGTGTTAAAACCGGTGGATCTCGGGTAGGGGGTCCCGAACTGTGCGTCTAAGGCGGATGGTAACAGGAGGCAGGGGACACGATGTTTTACCCAGGTTCGGGCCCTCTCGATGGAGGTAAAACCCTACGTCCTGCTTGATTAATATTGATGATATGGGTAGTACAAGAGTAGATCTACCACGAGATCAGAGAGGCTAAACCCTAGAAGCTAGCCTATGGTATGATTGTATGTTGTATGTTGTATCGACTAGCCTGGCCCTGGTTTATATAATGCACCAGAGGCCTAGGTTAACAAGAGTCCTAGCCGAATACGCCGGTGGGGAGAAGTCCTTGTCTTGATCGCCAAGTCTTTGTGGAATCTTCCTTGTATGCGGAAGTTGTCCGAACTGGCCCATGAGTATACGACCATGGGGTCCTCGGCCCAATCTAATAGATCGGGAGACGATGTGGTGAGTACCCCCTAGTCCAGGACACCGTCAGTAGCCCCCTGAACCGGTCTTCAAGTTAGGGATGCTCCTCGATTCTTCCGAACTGTTCTTCAGCTTCGGTCGTCGGTCTCGAAAACTGGTTCAACAAATCTTCTTTATCTTCGATCTTGAGGATCGCCAAAATGCATTCGACGAGTTTACACGTCGGGTATCCGAGGAGCCCCTTTAAGTTTCCGGCCTTTACCAATGCCTTGTTATTTTTATGCCACACCTCGGGTTTGAAGTTGTTCCCGGGTGGCAGCATCCTCTTGTGTCCGAGCTCCAACGCCGGACTATATTCGAGGTATCTTTTGCAACCGAGCACCAACGCCGGACCGCTTCCCAACTCTAACGCCGAAATGTATCCGAGCTCCAACGCCGGACTATGTATCCGAGGTGTCGTAAATCACCTTGGTTCAAAGAAGTTTGAAGGAGTTTAGCCGAGCTTAATGCCGAAAATGCCCTCTATGGAGCCAGCCACTAGCGCTCGAGCTTTATGCCGGGCTGCTTCTGAGGTGGTGCACCACCCCGAATGTGGGCCGATTTTTTTGAATATTTTTTATTGGTGCAATTTATTCTCTGCCGAGATATATAGCCAGTAGCCCTCAAGGTGTGTATCGGTCTAAAACCCGAGATGCACCTGAAGGATGACGTAAGACCGCTGATCCCAGTAGCCGCTGAGACTCAGGTTGATTTGCAAAACCGGCCTGAGGATCAAGTCCGAGCTCGGCAGAATACTTCGGGACACTAAAAGCGGCATGCTCAGTCCTCGAGACTCAGGTTGGGTGCGGCCGACCAACCTGAGGATCAAAATCTCCTGGAAACTATATTGCACATAAAATTTTCTGCATTGGACAAGCAATGCAGTAGCCCCCGAGACACTGGTCGGGTGGCAACACCAGATCAGGGGATCAATGTGCCCCTTTAATATTTGTAAATAATAAGCCCGAAGCCCAGTAGCCCCCGAGCCTTAATGCGGGCACGGGTGGCCGAATTAAGGATCAATATCCATAGTAAAATCACAAATTATGTGTAATGACTCTATGTATCCAAGTACTTTATGTCATTAATGCTCAGATCCGCATTGTACAAAACTTTGTTGACCGACCATCGGCTTCCACCTCCTCGGCCAGTAGCCGAGGAGTGTTTGTCCTACTTTATAAAGCCTTTATGAGGGCAAAGATTTACAACAAACAAGGCAATCTAGCCATACGGTTTTATAGACAAAGGTACATAGAGAG